GAAATTGAAGTAACCGGTCCCAAATTCGGATAAATGAAGAAGGTTATCTTTTTTTTAAAAAATAAAAATAAAAATGTTTTGAAAAAATGTATATTTGAAAAATTGTTTACAAAAACTCGCATTTGAAGTCCAAATTAACTGAAACGTCAGTTTCTCTATTAATGACCAAAAATCGAACGTGAGAGAATATTGACTAATTTTTAAAGGACAAAAAAGTAACTTTATATTTTTAATATAAAAAAGATTAAAATAAAAGAATTAAATTTTAAATTTAAAAAAACACTGTTCATCCTCTCCACTCATCCCCACCCAAACCAAAACCAAAAATCACCAAAACCCCCACTCCCCAAGCATCAACATCACCAAAATCGTTGACACCACCACAAAACTACCGACCCAATTGACTTGAGCAATCGTCTCCACAATTTTCAATCCAGCCCCATTTTCAATCGATTCAATTGATTGCAAATCAAGTTTCAGAGGATTTTGAATGGCTTTTTGACAAGAAAAAACCCTATCTGCTAATACACTGTGTAGGAGCAAGTGGTGGCAATGGATTTCCGACCCACTGTTTGAATCATAGAATCCGACTTGGGTTTACCAGAATTCATTGTTGAGGTGCCATTGATAACATCAGGATTTCCACTTCTGGGTAGTACACTGTGCTTCAACGTTTGTACATCCAGTTCATCAGTGCTGTTCAGATTGAAGTTGATTTGATACATTTTGGCTGCCGATTCCAGAATTTTATCAAAATCACCTATAAAATTTGGGGATGAAGAAGAACTAATATACCCAAATCGTTGAAAGCAGTTCTTGAGTTTTGCTAATCCTTTTACTTTTTGATCCATGTGGGATCCCAAAAACTGGTTAAAACCGTCCCATTGTGTTGTATTTGGGATCAAAGAAATTGGAATTGAAGTAATGTTGGGGAAGAAATGGGCTGAAATTGGAGTAATTGTGAAGAACAATACAAAAATAAATAGAGAAAGTTTCATCTTGTTTTAGATAGAGATGAAGGTTTGAATGGATCTCGGTTGGGTCGTCAACAGTTTTGGTAGTGCTCCCGAAGATTTTGGTGGTGGTGATGCTAGGTGGGTGCCGGCGGTTTTGGTGGTTTTTGGTTTTGGGGTTGGGTGGTGAGTGGAGAAGATGAATAGAGTTTTTTAAATTATTTTTTAATTTTTGATTTAATTCTTTTATTTTAATTTTTTAATTGAAAAAATATAAAGTTACAATTTTACCCTTCAAAAATTTAGTCTTTGATTTTTTGTCAACTAATAGAGAAATTAACGATCTCAGTTAATTTAGACTTCAGATGTGAGTTTTTGAAATATTTAGTGCCATGAGTGTTACAGATGAAATGCTTGGATCAAATTTGGATAAGAGTGAAAGGTTTGATACAGTAGTTGCAATTTTCCCTATTATTTATTTTCATTAAAGATGATCAACATATGATGTAGAATTAAATAATAGGACTAATCAACCGTGTCTCATATTCATATATTTAATTGACTTAACATTTTATAGTACATAACATGTCATATAGACTTGTGAGATAAAAAATTATTCAAATAAAAAACTTATATTTACTTGTGGGTAATAAATCATTAATAAGTAAAAAATCTTAGTTAGAGTATGTTTGGGAGTGATTAAAATCCAAATAAAATTGAAAATATAGTCGTATTGAGTCTCACTCGTCTAATAAAAGTCAATAACGACTAATTTTTCAATTTTAATCCGATTTTAATCTCTACTGAACACGCTCTTATTATGTAAAAATAACATACAAGTAAATAATCACTTATAAATAAAAATTTACATATCTAAAGTATTTACTTTTGAGTAAAAAATCACTCATAAGTTTGTAAGTCAAGAATTCACTTATAAATCACTTATGAGTAAATTTATGTGAAGGAAAACAACCTATACGTTATTGTAGTACAATGTAGCATTAAACACCGTATTACATTACATGAATCCTATTCTCCCTAATCCTATCTCTCCTAATTTATACGGTGTACCAAACATACAAACTGAATCTTCTAGTAGAAAAACCTTCATTCAAATAAAGATTCTTGATGCACAGCGAGCCAACAAGATGGTTCCCTGCATTACAAATTTACCATCCATGACCATTTCTAAGTGAATGTCAGTAGAAGGTATATTGTTTAAATTCAAAGTGCAAGCAGTCAACCGATTGTTCTTTTTTTTCTCTTTTTTTTTTCCCCTAAATTACAACTAAGGCTAATAACTAAATAACGGGTCTGGCTAAAGGAGGCCCACATTAAATAAGGGATTGGTCTCGAAAGCATAGAAATCAACACAAAATAACGGCCAATTAAATGTGTGGTTGTCTGGTTGTCGGAGGAGGTGGTTGGGAACGGACAAAGCATTTGTCAAACCAGACATAAATCTCCGATATAACATACTCCAAAGGGGTAAGGGTTGCGATCTTCCAAACTCCACCTGTAGCATCATCTGTCATTGACTTTCTCCATGCGTATGGATAATTCTTTACCGTAGGAATGACAAAAAAATTCATTTAACCCGACATCCGTAGGGTCCCTCCCACCCCAAATAGGGCGGGAATTACCCGCCTAACCGGGTAAACGAGGCGGGGATGGGACGATGTTCATTGCCCCGAAACAGGTATGAGACGGGTACATGAAACATAATCCTCGCCCCGCTACCCACCTCGGTTAATGTTAATTTCAAATTTAAATTTTTTATCAAACAAAAATAATAGATTTATCATCATTTTTTAAGAGAACATAAGTTGTTTTTAATAAATTGGTAAAAANNNATAAGTTGTTTTTAATAAATTGGTAAAAAAAATAATATTTACTAACTAAAGATATAAAAAAGTTAAAAGTAAAAAATAAAATAAAAAAAAAATAAATGGGCTGATAAATGGGGCATAAAACTTGCCCTGCCCGGATCGACCCTGCCTCGAAGCCGCCTCGTCCCGCTTTAAGTGGGTATGAGGATGGGGTAAGGTAACAAAAAAATCCGATCGAACGGTATCTTCATTAGAATCAGCCCGTCCTTGCCTTAGATTTGGACTCGATCAGGCATCACAGTCCAATAGTTCCCTGCCTTTATGCCAGTAATTATACATGTAGCTTACCACTCCACACAATTAACGAACTAGTCAACAACAACTTCCATGAATCATCTAATTGCACCCAAGTATCAGTACTTGCACT